AATATATATACATATATATAGACTATCTCTGATATACCACCTTCAATGCGACAGATATTCGAACTGGCCGGTGCAGTAAGCGAATTCCTGGCACTGAACTACCAACCCGAACAGTCGTTCTATGAGCAGATGCTCAGTCGACAGAGTGCCCTCACCCGCAAGGAACAGGAGCAGGAGGCTCTGGAAGAGGTAGGGCAGGGCAGCTACACGGCTGTGCATGTGCTGTAGTGCGATGTGAGGCCCATTGGGTTCATCTGGGTGGTAGGCTGTGGCTGTGTGGTGTAGGTTGTGCATGTGCTGTAGTGTGATGTGAGGCCCATTGGGTTCATCTGGGTGGTAGGCTGTGCATTTGCTGTAGTGTGATGTGAGGCCCATTGGGTTCATCTAGGTGGTAGGCTGTGGCTGTGTGGTGTAGGCTGTGCATGTGCTGTAGTGTGATGTGAGGCCCATTGGGTTCATCTAGGAGGTAGGCTGTGGCTGTGGCTGTGTGGTGTAGGTTGTGCATGTGCTGTAGTGCGATCTGAGGCCTGTTGGGTTCATCTGGGTGGTAGGCTGTAGCTGTGTGGTGTAGGGTGCATTAGAGCGTTGGTGGCTACGGTTACGTATGCAATCTGGTTGGCCAAATAAGAGACGCAAGAGTACTTGGTTGTGGTGGTGTGTGTGTGCTTGTAGATAGTTGAGTTGATGGTGATGTACACATATACATACACATGTACATACACATACACATACACATATACATACACATGTACATACACATACACATACACATATACATACCTACTGAACAACTTACAGCACAAACCCCTGGACGCCCAGAGAAAATGTGCGGACCACAAGAAACAACACGGCAAGCTACGCATGTACACACATGTACACATATACATATACATATACATATACATACACATAAACATATACATACATATACACATATACATATATATACACATACATATACACATACACATACCTACCAAACAACCTACAGCACAAGACCCTGGACGTCCAGAGACAGCTTGCGGACCAAGAGAAGCAGCAGGCCAAGCTACTGAACGATCGCATTCAGGAAGACCTCAAAGCCATGGAACGCCAACGAGACACGCTACGACAACAACAGAGAGAGCAGACACAGCGATGGGCACGCATGGGCAGTGCAGACGAAGACATGTTCCAATTCGAAGAGGAGCAGGAGGCCGAGAGGGGTAGGTGGGGATGGCCATGGGGGGGCGGGTAGGGTGTGAGAGTGAGTGAGTGTGTGTGTATGGGTGTGTGTGTGCGAGAGAGAGAGTGTGTGCGTATGTGTGCGAGAGAGAGAGAGTGTGCGTATGTGTGCGAGAGAGAGAGTGTGTGCGTATGTGTGTGTGTGTGAGTGGGAGTGTGTGGGTGTGCGTGTTTGCTGGACAGTAGAAGGTGCTGTAGCATAGTATGTGGGGTATGTGTTGCTGTATTGTTATATTTTAGTATCTATATGGATGAGGTGGATTGTATTATATGCCATTTACAATAGTAAACCCTGGAACAAGGTCTGTGTGGTGTGTGTAAGCAAGTGATATGTGTCGTATCCTTCATTTGCACACAGTTGTGTGTATGTGTAGTGTTAAGAGTGTGTATTGAGCACTCCCATCACCAGGCCAGACATTCTCCCTGCAGAAGTGGGTGGGCCATACCGTAGCTACACCATGCTACCTGCTCTGTGTGTTTGTGAACGTTTGTCATTTAGTTTGAGTATTGGTGCCTGTATCTGTGTGTGTCATGGACTGTGCACGTGCTTCTTTATAACACACAAAACCAAGTGAGATAGGAAGGCTATGCTGACGCTCCGTTGGCTTATGTGTCATCTTACCTACCATATAAATTCCGTAACCTTCCTAACATTACCCAGTATCAAATATTGTTTGTACTCATGTGTATGGTATTGTCTATAATCATGTGTTTTGCGTCTTTGCTCTTCCGCAGAGCTTGACACCATATTTGACACCGCCAATGACACCGCCAATGACACCGGCACCTGGCGGGGCAGCCCCGACACTTTGACCGCGCAAACTTCCATATTAGGCTCGAGCCCATCTATAAATAGCACGGGGAAGCCAGCGCTAGTACCGAACAGTCCGTTGCGCTACAGACTGCTGCAACGCCTTCACTCAGGGCCAATGGGCTGCCGTGTGCTCATGTGCTTGGATCAGATCACCGACAAACCAGCCATGATACTGGTATGTGATGTGTGCATGTATTTGTACAGTCATGTGTGTATCGTGTATGAGTACAGTCATGTGGATATGCATGTATTTGTAAATTCATGTGTATATGGATGTACCTGTACTTTCATGTGTATATGCATGACGTTTGTATCGGTACATCCGTATATATATATATGTATATATATATATATATATATATGTGTGAGACTGTATGTCCACGTTGGTGTTCTCGTCCTATCAACACAGATCCATTGCAATATAATATTGTGTGAATACATCGTCTAGCACTCACACACATATATCCCTCCCTTGCATTATCCTTCTCTCCTGTGACCATCTTATACACGCAATAGGACTTTCCGATGGTGTGCCGATCGTCTGGTCGCATAAACCGTGTCAAATACACTGACAGGAACCAACTGGGAATGGGCCGGCGCGTTAAACGGCTTGCCTGTATTGAGAAGGTATGTCTGTGCACTACCCGATAGGCGGATTGTCTGTATTGAAAAGGTATATGTTTAAATATATATATATATATATATAATGTATGTATGTATGTAAGTATGTATGTATGTATGAATGTTTGTATGTATGTATGTATGCATGTATGTATATATATATGTATGTATGTATGTATTTATGTATATATGTATGTATGTATGTACGTATGTATGTTTATATGTATATATGTATGTATGTTTGTATGTATGTATATATGTGTGTATGGATGGGTGGATGTATGTATGGATGTATGTATGTATGTATGTATGTATGTATGTATATATGTATGCATGCATGTATTTATGTATGTATGTATGTATGTATGTATGGATGAATGGATGGATGTATGTATGTATGTATGTATGTATGTATG